CAAGACAGGGTGGATCTCGAAACTTGCCCCTTTTGAGATTCATCTGATTCTGCTGTCTTGGGTAGAGGCCCCCAGACAGCCTGCAGCTCCATCATCTGGGCCCCCACCTTCACCGGAAGGTCACACAGGTTCTGCCCACTGGGCACCAGGGTCCCAAGAAATTACAAAGCAGTCAGTAGGTAAGCTGATGACTTAGCTTTGAGTGCTCTTGTTTTCTCTACTGTGAGTGCAAACCGATCAATAAATGGGCCTAGGAGTCAGACAGAGATAAAAATGCCCACTTTATTCCAGATGAAGCTGTACTAAGAAAAGTGGTTTGGTGATGAGGCCTAATTGGACTTCTTTTTGCTTTCCTGATCAGTTGCACTACCCTCCTCGGGACCCTCCCCCAGGCCCACCCAGCATGGCGGTCCAGGGCCCCACACCTCATGGGTGGAGGTGGTCTTTGCAGGGAAGATGGAAGAGGAGAGTGCACATGAGTGGCCACAGGCGGGAGCTCCCAGGCAGGGTTGGCATCACTCCCAGCAGCTGGGGTAATGAGACCTCCCCAAGGGGGTGCACACTGCCCATCCCCTCATCAGCTATTTGCTGAGAGCCCAGTCTCAGCGTATACAAGACAGAGGCTACCTTGAACAGGGGCTCCACCACATTCCTCTCACCCAGAGAGGGGCAGTGTGTCAGAAGCTCCCCTGGATCAGGGACTCCTCCCCAACCCCCTTGCCTGGGGGAGTAGGAGGGTGAGTGGATGTGGGAGAGGAGGGAGGGTCAGACAGGGATACTCAAGTAACACGCTCCCTTCTGAGAAGGGACCGAAGGGAAGCTATTCTTCCTCCCAATCTTGGAAACCCAGCACAGAGGACGAGCCCCCATCCCCCCTGCATGACCCTACAAGACAACCCATTAGTTAAAAGGCTGCCTGCACGTGAATTCCTAATCTTTGAGGGATTATGGTGGGAACCCCCCCAGTCATAGGTAGCTATTAGAAGGTAAGGATTTTGAGCTCCCCTGAGCTGATGCTTAGGAAAAGCCAGCTCTTTGGGTATGAAAGGCTGCTTATTGCCTTCCTCCTCGTTGTCTGAGAGTCCAGCCGGATCACCAGGTGAGGCAAATGCAGTTGAAAGTGATAGGTATATGGAATCTCATTTAAAAGGCTGCAATCTTCTGATGGCTAAATTCATTGGAAACCATTATAAATGCTCTATGATCAAGAAACTTGCATTTTATTTCTGAAAGTCTTTATCAACATGAATAATCTGCGGTTGGAAAATTTGCCACTCTTTCCTTGGTGAAACAGAATGTTTCCTTGAAGCATTTCATCCTCCTCCATATCTACCCTGCTGTGGCCTCTTCACTCAGTGTCTCCAGGTTGGCTGCTATAAATTTATGTCTGCCCTGTGCAGCCAGGCTGTGAAGGAGTTGCACTAATCAAGTCGGCCAACTCACTGCTTGTCCACTACAAAGCCCTCTATCCACCTGGCCGTGTCCCACACTGTGTTTCCTTACAGTGTGTGGACTCAGACACAGGGCTTGACGATGTATCAAATTCACTTTGAGATAGCAGGGAATTAGCAGCCGAAACAAGATAGTTATGGCAAAACCTTGGAAAAATTTCTGAAGCTCTGGAAGAGTCCATGGAACAGATAAAGTTATGACTGGTGTTGCTAATCATATGCAAACAGAGTTGCTGCATTTTCCCATAAAGTAGATGTGCTGGGGGGAAATGAGGAACATCCATTAATTTGTTGCTTAGAGCCCTGTTAACTTAGGATCCCAGTTTGTTGGCTCTTTCAATGCATGTCTCCATTAAGTTGGTTAGGGAGACCTTGTTATCTTGTATCCCAGATAAGGCAAAGCCATTGTTAGTGACTACATCAAGGGCCCACAATTTCAGAAAAGAAAAAATGAAAAATGAAGAAAAAGTTATTCGAAGGCACCTGCCTTTGCTAGGGTGATAGCAGCCCTTTTGAGCTGTAGACATTTAGCGGACAAGGACAAGGAAACCTTTCTTGTGGACCATTTGGATGACTGAGGAGTCACATAGTGAAACAAAGGGCTGACAGCAAAGGACCATGCTGGAATTAGGTGCGGGAATTAGAGCAGTGAAGAAAATAGACAAAAATCTCTTCTTATGGAGCTAACATCGTTGCGGATAAAAATGGCTTATTTGGTCTCAGGCACTTTTCTAAGCATTTCACATACATTAACCCATTTGACTCTCACACGTCCCATAAGAGTAGGCACTTATCACCCCTATTTGTGAAACTAAGGAACTGGGAAATCAAGCACCTTGCCCAAGGTTACCCAACCAGTAAATGGCAACTTGTTTTTTAAACCTGGTGTGTATTAGTGCATCTCAAACTTCTAAGTTCATATGATTGATCCAGGGTATCTGGTTTAAAAGCAGGTTCTGATCCAGTAGGTCTGGCTTGGGGGCCCTGTGATTCTGTACTTCTGACAGGCCTCCAGGTGACACTGAACTGCTGGGCTGTGGGCCACATTTGGAGTGGTAAGGCTCTGGATGATGATGGGCATGCTCGATCTCTTGAAAACTCAGGTCCTTGGAGATAATCTATTTTTCCTTTCTGTATTGTCTTCATTGGGTCTCTTTATGGTTATCCTAGCCTAGGCTCAATTAGTTGAAGCTGTGAAAGACCTTTCAAGCTAATTCAGAAGAAAGGTAGGGATAGTTTAAGGATATGGAGCTCATAGAATGCAAGGATAGCAGCCACATTACATCAGCCCTCTTGGAGCCTAGAGCTCCAGCAAGATCAAGTCCTCAGCTCCATGAATCCTCTCACTTCCAGGTTCCCCTTGGGGGTTCTGCGCCTGCTCCATTCCACTTGCCTGTTTTTCCAACATGGCTGCTGCCTGGAAGTCCACAGGCTCTTTCAGCCCCAGGGCCCACAACAACCATATATACTGTGTTTCTTAGTTTAAATTCTTGAAGGAAGGATCTGATTGATTGCTCCGGCAGTCAGCTGTGGGTGGGGAAATTAAGCAGGACTGATGATGGGCAAATGGTGTGGCTTATCGAATATTCCATGCAAGACCAAGAGTTCATTCCTGGAGGGCCAGACTGCCTACTTTGTGGGGCACTCAGAAAGAAATGGATTATCTATTTATTTACTAGGCGTTTACCAGTTGCTAAGCAGTCTGCCAAGTGATGGGGATATAGAGGTAGAAGAAATATTTTAAGGAATTTAGGTTCTAATGGGAGAGTTCTTCAGTAGTGGCTTAAGCAGCTTATAGCAGACCAAAGCCTTCCTTCTGAGAAAAACTAGAAATTGGAAAAAAAAAATCTGCGTTTCAACTGTAATAATTACATATTTATATATCATATATACATTTGTATTACATAATTATATATATTTTAGCTATCCTAATTTTTCTCTGAAGGACTATCTAGATAGAGCATAGAGAAGTTAGTGACCCCAATTGTTGGAGACACTTAACTCTTTAAGAAATTCAACCATACCTAAGCAGCACTAGTTAAGAGAAGCTATGCAGAAAGTATCAATTGGGATGCTTAGGAGGCAAGCAGAACTTTTGGCAATTTTAACAACTGGAAGGGCCATGTTTAAATACTCTAGGCTTCTCACTGAGGATCCCTGAAGTCAGGGCAAACCTTAGATAGTCCAGACCATATAAAACTGAAACCCAGACTCTAGGCAGTTAAAATCTTGATTGGATTAGATGTTCATCCCTCTACTTTAACTTGTTACCAGGAAAATTAAAAAAAAAAAAAAAGTTTAAGATTTTATTTTTAAGTAAAAAATGTTTAAGATCTTATTTTCAACTAATCTCTACACCCAACGTGGGGCTCGAACTCACAACCCTGAGGTGAAGAGTTGCACACTCTACCCACTGACCCTGACAGGTACCCCGGAAAATAAAATTTTGCCTAGCATCTCTAAGGTTTTCTATATACAATGTCTGGCATTCAGTTAAAAAAAAAGTGTTAAGACATAGCCAGGGACAGGATCAAAAGCAAAGATAGATAAGAGAAACAGGTCAATGAGTGATGCAGATATGAAAGTTATCAGGCACATGCATTAAAATAATATGATTAATATGGTTTCAAAATCAGGTGACAAGCTGGAGAAATTCATCTGGAAGCTGGGATATATAAACATGAATAAATTAATTAAATATAAAAAAGGATTAATAGGTGGGTTTATCAGATGGGAAGACTGGCGATCTGCAAGATGGATCAATAAGAAATATAAGGCCTAGAGGAGTAAAAAGATGGAAAATTCAGATTGAAATTCATGTCAATATAATACAAAAGTTTTTGGGAGGGACAGTAAATAGAGTTAAAGTTTCGGACGATCTCTGCCATATGCCTTACTTCTCACACTGATTCAATCTCCATTCCAACCTCCTTTGTCTTTCTTTCGGGTCCTAGATTATCTTCTCTAGAACTCTCCAGTGTGGTAGCCACAGACCACAGGTGACTATATACATTTAAATTAAAATAAAATTAAAAATTCAATTCCTCAGGCCCATGTGGACTAGCCACATTCCACATTCTCAAGTAGCCACAAGTGGCCATTTCCTTCATGCTGGAAGTTCTATAGGACAGTAATCTCATTCCTTGACATTTTGCTTTTTTTGGTCAGCTTAATCAGGTATACTGAAATGTACACCTACTGCACGGAACCTTTCCATGGTTCCAACCTCTTCCGTGTAACGTTCAAGCTTTTACACTGTGTAGCTCAGTTCTGTTTCTCTGACTGTTGAGAGCAGGCACAATAAGTTCAGTGATCAGCTACCGACTAAAAGTGGACAAAATAATCTCAAAATCAGATGCTTCCTGCTGTGTGTGTGTCTGGCATGGAGTGGTGCTCAAAGCCCAGACCCTGAGCCGTTAGATGACTTCAGCCTCCTCTCTCTAGGGGTGTCTGGCAAGTGCACCCTCCTTAGAAAGATATCCACTAAAATGGTCAAATAAATGTTTTGGTTTTTGGAATTCCCACTGGGGAACTCTTTAGTTGGCAAGGATGTGGGGCAAGTGGGACTTCTACTGTACTGAGTCCCAGCTGTGCCATTTATTAGCTTTTAAACAAAGACAACCTACGTTCCCCCCCACTGGTGCCTCAAGTGTTACGTGTCGGGCATTGTACCTCTCCCTCATGTGTGAGTTGTGATAATTAAATGTGGTTTTGCAAATGGGAAAATTGCTTTATAAATGTAAGTGCCACACCATATGGCATTATTTTGGATCACAGTGTGAGCCGGGTCCATAAACTACTGTACTTCATGCTATGCCATTTCTTTTTTTGTCTTACAGTGATTTCCCTCAAAGCTTCTGAAGATTCATCCGTTGAGAAAAAGAAAGAGACCTGGGCGTTTTTTGAAGGTAGACCTTGCATGTTTCTTTATTATAAGATGCCCCTCCCTCGCTTTTAGATAATAGGAAGGGAATAGAATGGGAAGAAAGTATAACCGAACTCAAGGGGGTCACCACTTGGGGTACACCAAATTGAACACAAACCAGGGAAAATACTGAAAGCTAAGGACTTTTTATTACTTGGTACAAGTTAGGAGACAGGGAGATAGTTCTCTAAGCACTGTCTCCCCATGGGGTTAGTACAGGAAGCTTTTATTCAGTGTGTTAGGGGCTGAGGCAGGGAGCTGCCATCGGTACTTTTGGTTCAGTTGCGCATGCCTAGCAGGTCAGCATGCTAGTGCGTACCTTGTACGTTCTAAGAAGTGGCAGAACACTCTGTCCATAGGAAGTGATGTTAGTATAATGAGCTAAAGGTAGCTTCAGGTCAGCACACGGGGGGCTTCTGTGCAGGTCCTCAGCTCCAGCCTGGCTCACACTGGCACCCATGGGGGCTGTTAGGAGAGACAAACCTAGCAAGGGGATCTCAGGTGAAACACCCAGTTGGGCATCTCCTTGGCTGGAACTGTTGGTTCTCTGTGAAATGAAACACATTCCTTCCCTACTTTTGTCCCTTCCCCTCCCACCTTCTGCTGATACTCCATCCCTCTTATTTGAGTAACTTCCTTTTGCATTTTAGCCAACAAAAGGACCCTGACTTCTTAGTTGTTCTCTTATCCTAAACTTACTCAAGAGTAGGGTGGGAGGGACGCCTGGGTGGCTCAGTTGGTTAAGCATCGAATCTTGACTCTTTCGGTTCAGGTCATGATCTCAGGGTCGTGAGATCGAGCCCCATATTGGGCTTAGCTCAGAGTCTGCTTGTCCCTCTCCCTTCTCCTCGGCCCCTCACCCACTTGTGCTCTCTCTCTCTCTCTCTCTCAAATAAGTAAAATCTTTTGAAAAACATAAAACACTATATATATACAAAAAGAATAGGGTGGGAATTCCTGGTGGTGTCAGCCCATGGGTTTTGAAAGAGTAGAGGCCAAAGCTCCAATCTGTATAATTTGGGGTTGTTTTGTTTTGCTCCAGAATTCCTGCCTTTAAGTGATTTTAGGGAGGGATCTTCAAGTAATGTGAAAATGAAATGTACACCTACTGTGACAAATTTTATCTCCGGTTTCTTACAGAGTTTGGGGTTTGAGAATCTTCAAGTGATTTTCAACCCATGTTAGAAGCCCCTGGGGAGCTTTAAAAACACTGATGCCTGGACCGCAGCTATGGACATTCTGATAGAGCTGGAACTTGTTAAAAGCTCTCCAGGTGACCCCAGCAGCAGCCCTCGCTGGTCCCAGATGAGCAGCTGCAGCAGAAGCATTACCTGGGAGCCCGATACAAAGGCACAGTGTTGGCCCCTCCCCTCACTTACAAGATCAGAAACACTAGGGGTGGTGCCCGGCAACCTGGGTTTTCGCGAGACCTCGGCGGGGCGGGGGGGGGCGCGGGTGGAGATTCTGCTGCACTCAGATTGGAACCTTGGAGCAATGATTCTCAGCAGGGGGTTGTGCCCCTCCAGAGTACATGTGCCAGTGTGTGGATACATTTTTGGTTGCTACAGCTAACCTTTTGATGCTCCTGGCATCTACCGGGTAGAGGCCAGGGGTGCTGACAAATGTCCTAACAATGCACAAGTCAGCTCCCCACAACAAGGAAGTGTCTGGCCCCAAATGTCAAGAGTGCCGAGGTTGAGAAACCTTGCCTTACTGAGAGGGAGGAAAGTTCGCAGGAATTATTATTGCAAAGTAGGTGAGGGTTATGACAAGAAGCCATGAAAGAATGTACTTGGTGAGTTCTTAGGCAGAGCCTTTGGTCAGTGAAAAACTGATGAATGTCAAAAGGTGATGAGGAACTTGTGAAGGGTTACACTTAGTGAAGGCATGGCATTTATGGATGATGAATCCCCTTGCCGAACGGATCTAGGGAGATGTGTGTGCCTTGGAGGCTTCCCCTCACTTTTAGTTAACTCACAGATGTGGTGGAAGGAGATCATGCCCCATGGGGGAGACAGGCGCTTGGATCCAAACCCACCTCTTCCAATAGCCAGTTAAAAGCAGTGGATGGAGGCACTTTCTCTCTTAGGAAAATATAGTCATGATTGTGAACATTGTTTGCAAACCAGACAGTGTCACTCAGATAGGACACTGGGATTCATTGTTTTGCCATCAAATATTTTCTTTGTCAGATTCCACTTCATTCAGTAGAGATTCCTTGTATCCCCTGCCTTTTCTTATGCAGGCTTTGTGGCTGTCTTTTTATTTAATGACCCTCTCCCAGCGAAATGATCCCCAGCTCTCTCCCTCAGCCTTTCATTCAGGGAATGCCTGTTTATTAGCAAGGAGATGAAAGTGACTTTACTGCTCATGGAGTGAAGCAATAGAAAAAATAATTGATTTACCCCATGTTTCTGGGAGCTGCCCCATGACCCAGAGCCCTATGGTGGGGGAGAAGTGTGGAGACATCCAGGGCATCCCTAAGGTAGGTCGCTGGCAGCTGTGACAGCAGGAGCCTTGTTTATCATCAGATGCATAAGGATTTCCTGGGGGATTGTTAGTAACCCGCATTCTGGGCTCCCCACCGAGAATCTGATTATTGCCTTTAGGAAGGGAGCAAAACATTTGTATTGGGGCCCGGGGTGTTTCCCTAGTGCAAATGGTCTAAGGACTGTATTTAGAAATAATCCATGGTACAGGGGCACCTGGGTGGCTCAGTCGGTTAAACGCCTGCCTTTGGCTCAGGTCATGATTTCGGGGTCCTGGGGTGGAGCCCTGCATTGGGCTCCCTGCTCAGCGGGGAGTCTGCTTCTCCCTCTGTTGCTCCCCCTGCTCGTGCACTCTCTCTGTCTCTCAAATAAATGATCTTTAAAAAAAAAATACCCGTGGTACAAAAAACAAGACTCCATATATTTGGAAATATGGCAGCATGTGGTCCCAACATGCCTTGCAGCATCATCAGCATGTCTAAAACAAGTGTATAATTAATAGTGGCTTATACTTCACATGTAGCTATCGACTATCAGGGTCACTCTCAACCTGGCTCTCTACACAAAATCCGTAGCCCAACGTGGGCTTACTTCTCAACACAGAGACTTAGGTCCCTTCAGAAAAGAATTGGAGTCCTCACTATGTCTAATGCCTCAGAGCAGCTGTTTCCAGAGCGTTCTTTCCCCGGGATTCCGGCAGCAGTGGCCGTGTGTTTTGCTTTCTTAACCCAGCCACGGTGTCGGCGAGGTCAGGGGTACGGATGAAACTCCCTGGCGCCTGATCCCGGGCCTTTGCCCTTTTGTTCCTGGATGGGACAGCTGCAGCAGGGCCTGCGGAGGGATGGCCGTCCCCCTGGGGCTCCGCTCAGCTGACCACATGCCCGGGGCACAAAACCCAGCATTGTCGGGCCTCTTGGTGAAATGCTGGAGTGAGTTAAAATCCCTCAGGGCTATTGCTATTGCTCAGGTGTTTTTCCCCCGAGCAAGATGATATTACAAGCTGGATTAAAAAAAAAAAAAAAAAAAATAGAAGGCTGCAGTTTGTCGCATGGACCTGAGATCCTGGTGTTTGCATTTTCCCTGGAAGAGTAGAGGACTGACATGGACTTTCTCCAGTCGGTGGTCTGGGCGAGTTGCTGCCTTCAGTGTGCGGAGGCATGCTGGGGCCCCCGGGCTTCCAAGCAGCGCGGAATGTCCCAGCTGGCCTCCGGGTTGCCCGGCAATAGGTGCTGCCTGCCTATCGCAGGGCCTCTCTGCCGGGCCTGCCCTGTGGTGGGCCTGGTGTTCTGGGAGTGGGGAGCAGGCACAAGCTCACTGTGCCCCCCCTCCCCCACCGTCTTGGCCTCCCTGCCGCTTGAGTGTCACTCCAGCCTGCCGCCCGGCCATCTGCTTCAGGGAGGCCTGGGCTGGGGCGGCTGGGGTCGTGGTGGGGTTGGGGGTGTGTGTGACATTTTCTGCATGGCGGCTTGCAGCCGAGCCTAAAAATGACATTGGTGCCTTTGGAAGTCCGATGGCAGAAGACAAAGCTGCACATGAGTTTGAGGAGCATAACAAGATTTTTAGAATGATTTTGAGGGCGCAGGTATATGTGGTGTTTTAAAAGCTAACCCCAGATTGGGTTAAATGCAGAGGTTTTTGTTCAATTTGGATCTGAAGGCTTGGATTCAGCCGCCAGACAAGCATTGTTTGGCCCGGTCTGGCCTGAGTTTTAAAACCTTTGAGCCAACATTTATAATTAGAGAGGTGTGTGCAAGGAGGTTGAGGGAAGGGTGGAGATAAGGCAGCACGGGGCCGGCTTCCAGGCGGAGGACGGCTGTCTGGAGCAGAGTCGCGGCCTCCTCGGAGGCAAGGAGGTGCTCGATCTAGGTGTTCGTGACCCTGGCTTAAGTGGTCAGCGTTCTACCTCTGTTTGCAGAGAAAATCGAGGGAGGTGGTTTCAGTGTTTTGAGCCGCTAAAACAGGGCAATTGTCTTTATGCCGCAAAAGGAACTCTCGGAACAGAGGGAAAAAATTGGAACGCTGGGGTGCTGGGTGCTGCCCCATCCAGGGAAACTCAGAAGTTCTGTTTGAGCTTTTCTCCTCCGGCAAGGTGACGCGTGCTCAGGTTCCTGTAGCTTCAGGAACGCGACAGAGAGCAGGCGCGGTTGCTCCCAGGCCTGTGGGGACGCGCACACAGGCGGCTGGTGCCTGCCAGCCAGTGTCCCCAGCCCGTGGGCCTGCGTGCTTGGCCGTGTAGCTGGCCAGATGTTTTATGGTCTGCAGCTGGGACTGCCTGTGGAGAGCCCCCTCTGTGCCACGTGGTAGAGGCTGTGGTCTGAAACCAGAGCGTGGACCTCTCGGAGCCCCTCGCCTCCTGTCGGGGCACAGCGGGCCACAGAGGCCTGCAGCGTGCTTCTGGGGACCCTTGTGGGAGATTCGCACCACGACCTTGTCCCTGCTTGATTGCCACAGTTTCCAAACCAAGGAAAGGGCTCCGATGAAGAGGGAGCTCGTAGAGGACGCTGCTCTGCTCCAGTGGTCCAGAAACTTCATTCAGTGAGACAGTTTGTCTCTTCAACGAAAAATGAGACTGAAGCCAGATGGCCCTTGCCGTTTTGGTCCTGGGGCCGGCATCTTTGGAGTCCCTTGGAGGCAGATGTTGTGTCGTGCCCCACGTCTGCGTGCCTGGCAATGGGACTGCATTATTTGCCGTTCTCTCATGCCAGACAGAAATGGCTACGCATGCTCAACTGCATGTAAATCCGGGACTGGCCCTATGTTCTCCGTGTTCTGGCCCATCCCGTGTCCTGTCACGAATCCTGGTCTGTGACCCCTATCCTAGCTCTCAGAATTTCGCTGTTTAAATGGAGACCCAAGCCCCTAGCTCTGACCATTCAGAGCTCTCACCGAGTGAATCTGCAAAGCCCACGCATCTGAGACACAGGCGTCTATACAGAAGGGCAGTTTTGATTTTTGTTGTAGGAGAGGGTTTCCGCTGTCTCAAACTCCTCACATGCCACTGAACTCCTCGACCCTCTAATCTGGCTCGGCCCCCACCATCCCACAGAATTGGCTTTCCCCCAGGACTTTTCCAGTAGCTTCCGAGCAGGAAAACCCAGTGGATGTTTTCCAGCAGCACTTGATGCTATTAAAGAATCTTTCTTACAACATCTACTCTCTTGGCTTCTAGAACTCTCAACTTCAGTCTTCCTCTGCTTCTGTGACTGACTCCCAGCTCCCTCTGTAGCAGACTCTTCCTACCCACCTTCCTGCTCCCTTAAATATTAGGGCAGGTGTTCCCTTCACCTGCAGCCTTATCCTGCTGTGCTTTCTACTTCTTTTACTTTTAATTCAGGCTCCTAAGTTCCATGAACAGAAGCCTTCTCAGACTAACTTAGGCAAAAATGTTGACTGAGCCTAAGACCATGGGAGGACCTCGTGGACTCTGGGTCAGAGACTACACTGAGCCTCCTGGGGTGTGGGCCAGGGAAGAGAGAGTCGAAAGGAACCTGAGATGTCTGATTCTGTCCCATCCTCCCTCTTCCTCTCTCGTTGACTTGCAGCCTTACCTGTGTCTCTAGCTCACTGTGGAAGCCAGCCCCCCTGCCGCTCCCAGCATGCTGCTTTTTCCGTTTGGACACTTAACTAACTGCTTCTCCAGGTCCCAAGGGCTTTACAAAGGTGCATTCCTGTTGACTCAGCAATTGCACTTTTAGGGACTTCATCTTAAAAACCTAATATGAGAGGTGCATTAAGGTTTGAGTTTGTGAATGCTCATCATACTCATTTATTATAGGGAGCAGTTAGAAACACTTTGAGTGGCCAGTAATAAGGTCCCATGAAGCCACTTATATTAATCTGATACATTTTTTTCACTCTGTTTCTCTCTGTATTTTTATTCTTTCTATATATTTTTGCATTTTCTGTGTTTTTTAAAATATGACTCAGCACAGAGCTCCAGTCCTCTTTGAAGCTCCTTGTGACCTCCTCACGCCAGTTGAGTTCCTTCTCTGTGTGTTTCTAGTACTGGGCGCACACTTTTGTTGTCGCAAATGCCATACTGCTCTCTGATTTCTTGATGAGACTTTTAAATGTCCATTGTTATATTTCTTGTACTTAGGAGAGTGCTGAACATGGCTGATAATAACTGCCTGTTGGCTCAAGAAATTTAAGTCAGTAGAAAAACATTTTTGCTAAGCTCAAACATCTGTAGCTTTTTGCTGCAGAGAAGGATAAACTAAGGCCTTTGGCTTCCCTTTCCCTTTCTGAGCAATCGGCATTTTACCAATCAGATTGGTGATGAGGTTGATCACTGGAGTTTAAGAAATGGATGTATGTTGTTATGGGCTCAGGTTGATGTCCCCCCCAATTCATATGCTGAAATCCTAACCCCTAATATGACTGTATTAGGAGGTGGGGCCTTTGGGAAGTGACTATGTCATGAGAGTGGAGCCCTCATGAATGGGATTATTTGCCCTTATAAGATGAGACCCTGTAAGAGTTTGCTTGGTCTCTCTCTGTTCTCTGCCATGTGAGGATACCAAGAGAAAATGTCCCCAAACCAGGAAGAGAACTCTTACCAGATACCAGTTCTGCCAGCACCTTGCTCCTGTGAGAAGTATATGTTTATAGTTTAAACTGCTCAGTCGATGGTATTTTGTTATTGCAGCCCAAATTGACTGAGACATATATGGTCATGGTTTAACTTAGAAAAATTATTTGGAGTTGTAGATTAACATGTATTTCTGAGAAATGATACAGGGATCCCTTGTACCCATTTGTGCCCTTAACCCAATTTCTCCCAGTGGTAACATCTTGCAAAACTATAGTACAACATGGTAACCAGGATGTTGACATTGATACAGCCAAGATACAGAACATTCCCATCCCCACAAGGGTTTCTTATAGCCAAACCCATGTTCCCCCCATCAGCTACTCCCTCCTTAACCTCTGGCAATCACTAATCTGTTCTCCATTTCTATAATTTTGTCATTTCAAGAATATTATGTAAATAAAGTCATACAGTATGTAGCCTTCTGGGATCTCACCCCCCCCCCCACATACACACTTAGCATCATTGTTTGCAAGTTCCAGATTGCTACATCACTAGGTAGTATTCCATGGTGTGTGTGGACCACAGTTTGTTGAGCCATTCACCTCCTGAAGGACATCCAGGCAGTTTCCAGTTTTGGGCTACTGTAAATAAAGCTGCTATTTTGTGTGAACTGAAGTTTTCATTTCTCTGGGACAAATGCCCCAGAGTGCAGTTGCTGAGTTGAAGAGTATTTGTAGATGTATCTTTTAAGAAACTGTTTCTGGGGTGGCTGTACCATTTTATATTCTCACCAGCAATGCCGAGTGACCCAGTTTATTCATATCCTTCCTGGTATTTGGTATTGTCACTATTTTTTATTTTATTTGTTCTGATGGGTGTGTGAGATATCTCAGTGTGGTTTAAATTTGCGTTTCTCAAATGGCTAAGGAAGTGGAACATCTTCTTGTGAACTTATTTGCCACCTGTATATTCTCTTTAGTGAATTATCTCTGTTCCTGCTCATTTTCTAGTAGGATTGGTTTGTCTATTTTTTTACTGTTAAATTTTGAGCGTTCTTTGTATTTTAGGTACTAGTCCTTTATTGGATATACAGTTACAAATATTTCCTCCCACTCTGTAACTTGTCTTTTCATCCTCTTTTTACGGGTGTTTCCAAAGCAAAAGGTTTTAATTTTGATGAAATCAAATTGATCAAGTTTTCTTTACATGGATGATGCTTTCAGTGTCAGATATAAAAAAATCTCTGTTTATGGAGCCTGGGTGGCTCAGTCGGTTAAGCATCTGCCTTCGGCTCAGGTCCAGGGATCGAGTCCTGAGTTGGGCTCCTTGCTCAGCAGGGAGCCTGTTTCTCCCTCTGCCTGCCACTCCCCCTGCTTGTGCTCTTGTGCTCTCTCTCTCTGACAAATAAATAAAGTCCTTAAAAAATATATTTATAAAAATAAATTCTTTGCGTAGTCCTAGATCCCAAAGATTTTTCTCCTATATTTTCCCCCAAAGTTTATATTTTCTACTTAAGCTTGTGGTTTACTTTGAGTTAATTTTTGGTAATGTATGAAGTTTATCTTACTTGGTACCTCTCCTCTGATGTGGCTCGTTCTGACAATGCCCCACTGTGTCCTTGCCTTCAGATCTCTACATATATGCTGTGCTCGTGTGCTGTGTGGGGATCCTCAGTGTCCTCCTCTTCACCCTGACCATCATCTGGCAGTCTGTATTTAGCAAGAGGAAAGCCAGAGGTAAGAGAACCGATAAGGTCATGTCTGGAATGGGAGCACAACCAAACCACAGACAGGCGGAAGATGCTGGGGAAAGTATAACCTTGTTTGAAAAATGCATCGTGAGTCAGGGATTATGTCCCTGTGACTGGTGAGTACAGTGAGTGAGGAGATGTGTCTTGGACTCCGCTAAAATCAGCCGTGCCCACGTTGAAGTATCTCTTTTTCTCAAATCCCATCCTTCTGTGGTCTCTGGGGAAAGGGGGTGGGGGGTGCTTACCTCTCATTCGCCCAGACGGGGCTATGGAGTCAGATGAACCTGGTTTTGATTCGGGCTCTGCCACAGAAGACTGATTTTAGACGTGTTCCTTGGCCACCCTGAGCTTCAAGGTCCTCATCTATGAAATGAACTGGGTGGACCCTGCCTTCCTCAAATTGCACATGGTTGTAAGGTTCATTATTTAATTAGAGTACCAGCGTGGCGCCAGGCAGGCAGGCAGGGTCAGGAAGGCTCCGCCCACCCGGAGGGGTCACTTCCATCTCCTTTCCTGTCGGCATCCCTGTCGCCCTAGGTCTGTCCTCAGCCCCTTCCTGCTCTGCTCTTCCTTTCTTCATGATTACAGTTCTGGGGATTCCAACTCTCACCTCCCTATGCAGGCTGCCTGCTTTCCCTCTCCAGCCCCCACCTCTCAGCAAGCCTCGATGTCTCCTTTCCACCAGAGCCTGTACATTTCCTCTGAAATACCCTCCCCGCACCCCCTTCTGCATTCCCAAAGCAGGTGCGGATGCGGGAGCTCCCCGTGGATGACAGCTGAGCTCTGGAATGAGACCGGCTCTGGCTCAGATGGCTGCTCTTCACTTACCAGCCGATGACCTACCCACTGAGCCTCACCTTTCCCATCTAAGTAATGGGAAAGCGCTAGTGTGCCAGTCTCATGGGATTATTGAGAGGATAAAGTTCAACAACAACAGCAACCACATTTAACACATTCTGACTCTTGTAAGCGTCCTGCGTGTACGATGACATGAGGTTAGAGTTACGCATCAGCCTGAGGTCACAAAGCTGGGAAGTGTTAGATTTGGCAGTCACAGCGTAAGGGACTCGAACAGGGAGACAGAGCAGTGCTTCCGGAGGGCCCCTCCACCACGGAGCAGGCAGGGCACAGGGAACCCCGGAGGGAGGGAGGGGGCGCGCTCAGGGACCAGCCTGCAGCAAGCTGTTGGCATCGCAGGGTTAGGAGACGAGGACAGGAGAGGCTCCGGGAACTTGGAAGAGCTGCCGCTGTGGGAGAAAGTGTCACCAGCAGGAGCCTTAGAGGAGAGACCCGGGCAATGCCAACCCAGGAGACAGCAGGGAGGGAGCCGGGAGCATCCATTCCTCAGCCCTTCCTTCTCCCCTGTCCTCTGGATGTCCTGCTGCTCTTTGCTTGGCTCTCACCAACCAGGAGCCAGAGGGCAGGGCATGGAGGGAGGTCAGCCATCCGGGCCAGTCAGGATGGAGAGGGCATGGAGACACCCAGCACACTCAGCGCTGCAGACGGAGCCCGGCCTATGGGGGATCTTGCAGGGCCCGTACCCTTCCCACAGTGCTCCGGGCGAACTCTGTGCTGTGCCCGAGAGCCTTCCTCTGCAGCATCTGCCTGCCTTGTCAAGAGTGCCCAAGCTTATCTCCCGTTGCAAACCCTTGTCTATGCCTGTGAGACTGTGGGACGAGGTGCACATGTGCAGCTGCATTTGCAAATAGCGAGGAAGGCGCAGGCCCGTCATCTGGTCCACTCTCCTTGGAATTTGGCTTATGACAGATTCCCAACAGATGGGGGACAAATGTGTTTGTTTCCCAGCTGCTTTGCTCCCAACTGCTGGAGTTTGGAAGCCACATAAGCAGTCTCCAAGCCTGTTTGGCCCCAAAGGCACCTCTGCCTAGGTTCAGGAGCATGGCAGGGAAGTGTGCCTTGAGCTGCAGGCTCTGTTAGTTCGTAGGCAGGGTGGGGGAATCAAAGCAAAGGAGTTAGTTCAGGAGACATCCATCTCCTCCAGAGCCAATGAGGCCAACTGAGACACATACTCCAGGCCTCACACAGAGCCGCTGAGAACCCAGATCCCAGTCGCCCTTGTCTCTCCTGGAGCGGGCCCAGACAGACCCGTGTGCACCTGCACACAGTGTCGCAAAGCCCGACCGAGCTTTCAAGAGCTTCGCCGGGACACCTGCTGCGGGCCACGCTGCTCACTGGCTCCTCCACGTTCTTGTGTAATCCTCACTGCCAGTCTGGAATGACAGTCCCTATTGCTCCCGTTTGCAAGAGGACGCAGCTGAGGAGCTTGAGAAAGTCCTGAAACGGGCATGCCAGAGCCCAAGCCCAGCCTGATTGGGAGGAAATTTCTGTTCAAGGAAAACTTTGCCGTCTGGGAGCCAGCCTTGCCAAGGAATTTTCCTTCAGCCTTCCATGGTGGTTGCTGCCAAGGTCCTTCCCAAACAGCAAGCATAGCTCCTGCAGCCCCTAGGGAGCTTGGCTTTATTCCAGCAGGCTGGCATTCTGTAGCCCAGGCTGGGCAGGTCCTGCCCCATGGGGTGCTAGCAGCCAGGCACCTCCCAGCCACCACAGGGCTGGGGACAGAGGACTGTGCGTGATGGGCCTGGGGTTACCCCTCACCTGGACCCTGGAGCCTCTGCACAGCGCTGCCCGAACCTTAAGGAGCTGGGAAACCTGCTCAAACGAGGATTCTGATTCAGTACGTCTCATGAGATCACGGTGGGGCCACCACTTTGAGTAGCAGCAAGGCCTTACAGCCGGTTCTTCTGAACTCTCTCCTACTCTGTACCCGTCTTTGTTATAACAAATATTTTGAAAGGATCCCATTACTATCTTGAAATGAAACTCAGAGATGAGATATGCTTCCTGTACCCACAAAAATACAATCAGGCCCAGACCCCCTTGTTATATGGACATTTTCTGGGTTTTCTATGTCACTATGTGTGGGTTGGGCCTTCTGCATCCTGGCCGCATGGAGGAAAGCCAAGGTCACAAAGCTGGGAAGTGCCTCTCTTGCCTATGTAAGAACCGCAGGGCATCCAGGTCTGTAGGCTGCTCACATACACATGGAAAGCGGAGGAGAGCCCCACACCTGCTCTCCCGCTCCTTCAGCAGGATCTGTCTTCAAAGAGGATATCGGAGTAGCCGTCCCCATTCCCGAAGCGATCCCCTGGAGGGTGCTTGAGGTAAACAAAGCCCAGCCCGGAAGCTGGGGGGCCAGGGGCCAGCGTCCTTCTCTCTCTTCATCCCCGCTGCTCTGCCCTCACCCGGCCTCGCTCTGCCTTGTTTTCCTGGGGTGCTCATTATTCACGTGAGCTGGAGTTAATTGCACCCATGTGTTACTTGCTTTCCACTTTCTCCCGAGCTGGGAGTCTTCGTCCTGGCTCTTCGTGCCGGGGTGCCTCTGCGGCTCTGAGTCACCCTGGAAAACACCAGTCCTGGTGGCCCAGGACCAAAGCCTGAGTTATACCTCAAGCACACTGCTTTCCAGTGGCCTTTACTTGTTTGGGAATGAGTCCAGACTCACTGCTTTGAGGGGACCCCAGCAATCCCCCAACCTTCCCTGTCTGAGCTCTTACAAGGGCAGTTTGAAGGCACACTAGAACCAGACGGAAGGAGAGGGGCTTAGCCCCTTTGTCGCTACTCTCTGTGTCTGTGATCTCGCAGTCTAGCTTGCACTTGCTCTGCTAGAACCCTCACACTGGAACCAGGGCTTCCTAGAGCTTGCTAGGCCCCCGGGTTCCCCTGCTGCAGGCTCTGTTGAGTTCTTCCCCTGTTCTCTATGCTTCCCCACGGCGATGGGGCCAAAGAGCCTACGATCTTTACTCCCAGAGGTACAAGGAAGAAGGAGTCTGTCACAGCCATACTCCGTGCAGGGAGGAGGCTCAAAGCATGGAGTGGGGTGGCTGTGGATGAGGAGCAGAGGGGCGACCCTGGGGCCTTGGGGAAGTTGATGGGCTCACCTGCCTGGTGTCACAGACACTTGGACAATCCCTAGCACGAGCTCTCCTCACCACACACTTCTGAGACGCAGACTTGGTCTTCAGAACGTGTGGGAAGGTTGGCTGGCTCTCGTGGGCCCACTGCCGCCTTGGGAAGTGGGCCCACCCTCCCTGGGCTGGTGCTTGTCAGCCCCCCCAGGAGCGTAGTGTGGAGAGCACGGGACCCAGAGCTTGGATTCAAGCTCCTTTACTTACAGAGTGGGTCTTTTCCGGCCCCGAGTAAACGCCCTGCGTCCCCAAGTGTCCTCACTATAAAATGGGGTTAAGAGTTTCTCTTACTCGTACAGCTACTGGGGATGCTCTTCCCAGTGTGGTGTGCCGGTCCTTGGTGTGGGCACTTCCGGGGAGCACCTTCTCCCGCGTGCAGCTCACTTTCCAAACCACATCCTTCCATCACGGTCATGGTGACTGCGGGATTGACCATCCCGACAGCGAGGGCAAGCAGAGCTCCCCCATGCACTGTCCCCAGTAGAGAGACACTGCAAGCCACATATGTCATTGGACATTTTTGTAGTAGTCACATTAACAGGGTAAAAAGGTAAAAAAAAAAACCAATCTCTTTTATTTAACTCACTGTATCTAAAATAGCATTTCAACAAGTATCAATAGAGAGATTCTGAATGAGACATTTTACATTCCTTTGTTAAATCCAGCATGATTTCACGCTTCCAGCACGTCTCATTTGGGACTAGGTGTATTTCGAGTGCCAGCCTGGGGCCCACGACTTCCATATAGGACGAGTCTCTAGACACACAACTTTATGTGCTGCTGCTTTCCACCAGTGCTTTTCCTGTGGCCATGAAATGGCTCGCTGTAGCAAGAGAACAGGCGATAGGAAACCCCATTCTCCTTCTCAGCTTACCACTTGGTGACCCGGAGAAACGGCTTCACCTGTCCTGGTGTCGGCGCCAGCCCGGAAGCACCGTCAAGGCAGGGCTGCTTCCTGGAGGGCCTGGGGTTTTGGATGTGGCATGACGGGAGCCCAGTT